TTATTCTGTTGGGGTTTTTTTTTTATTCCTCCTCAGCCTGGAGATCCAGACAATAGTCCGGCGACTGAGCGTGTCTGATCCCAGAGCGGTACCAGAAGCTCAGCGAATGATGCCCAGAGGTGACCTACGCCAGGTGGGGATCATGCATAGCGCGTCATGGCGGGGGGAAGACCCCTTACAGAAAAGTTGGAACAACACTTCCAGCCTCCAAAATGTACACTAAAGACCAAACTTTTCTTTGACGTAAAAATATAAAAAGAATTCGTAAGAGAAATTTTCTCATGAGAAGTTGGTAAAATTTAATTTCGACTCCACTTTCTTAAAACATGGGTTAAAGGCGTCTTTCTGGCATGAAGTCACGGGAACACAACCGTGGTACTACTGAGAGAGGGGACCTTGGGTGTGCGCTGCAGGTCAAGTAAGTTCAGAACGGAGGACCCAAGTTTACTTTTACCGAGAAGTCAAGAAATGAAAGTATAGGCCTACCGTGATTCGGTCCCAATTAGGCTCGAACCCGGAGCTTCTGTAGTACACTCCAAGTCAGTGCTTACGCTTGCATGCCACAAGAGCCGACTCAGTACAGAGGGGAGATGACTCCAACAGGTTCAAAGGGCAGAAACACGTCACGGGGTGAAATGAAAGTTTCCTGAGTTGTCTTGTTAATTTGTAATGCCTTGGGAGCAATAAAATTGGTTTTCGAATCGATGTTAATCATTCTTTAAATGCTTTTTTTTTTAAGAGAACCGAAATGGCACAATACACGCATGTGCCTTTATGCCAATGATATATCAGCGAGATATTTGTTGTTGTTTTTTACACACTATACATGACTTGATAATTGATTGCAGAACATTTTACACGCCCACTGAAACACCGTTTAGGCAATAGGCTGCTTCGCTACTGTATGTCAGGGCCAGCTCAGATATAAAAGTATAGCACCACCAGCGAAAATGACGGAGAAAACTGATTTTAAAAAATTGTCTTCCCTACACGAGAATCGAACTCACATCTTTCGCGTGCAACGGTCAAAAGCGTTATAGTTTTTACATGAGAAACGTCTGTGATATCGTGTAATCTAAACCCAGTGCAACAAAATGTGAGGACGAAAGGCGAACTGAAGTATCTGCGCAGTATTTGAATTATTCTGATAAGTACACACGAACTTAGGGGCAGGTACGAAAATAAACCAACCTGTCAAACAAAGGTACTGCTGCCAGTTTTTAAAATAGTACAAACGAGATGTTTAAAAGTCCTTCCCCAAAAATCGGGCTCTCTCTTAGCTCAGTTGTTATCATGATGAACTATGAAGCTGATGACCCTGGTTCGAATCCCAGACTGGATGTTCTTGAACTTGGATGGTTTTGTGGAGTTCTCAAGGCTCTCAAACCAGTTGGTTCAGACTTATGTCGGAGACAGAGATGTAAATTTTGAAGGTCCCATCCGTTGAATAACCTAATGTTGTTGATAGGGGCGTTAAAACCAGTTGTTTTGATGTTTGTTTGATTGTTTCTTTTTCTTATAGTTTTATTTTAAAACTAAAAATCACTTCGTCACACAAGTTTGGAATAAATTTCGCTGCTGGGCACTGGTTTTACCTTTATGAAACTAAATGTTTTTCATCGTGCGGAAGTTTGTGTCTCATGTTATTATATTTTAAAATATTTTTAGTTTTCAATTTATTTTCTGTTTTATCCGTTTTTGTCAAGCGTGGATCAAATCTGAGACAAAAGTATTCAACAGCTGTAAGTTCAAAGGTTTTTCTAAAAGGGAAATGTTTTGGTTTGGAGTGTAGTACACGGATTGCATTTTGTAATTCAAATAGTTCACCTAAAACAAATATGGAAAAAAAAGACACTCAAAAGTATACAGTCGAATCTGCTCACGGCCACCTGTCCAAGACACTCCTCTATACAAACAACCAGTTCTCTTTCTCCCACCCTCTTGCACTATTTTACAGTATAGTGACATTGTTCGAAACGTTCATCTTTCTAACAATCACTTTCTCCCCGCCAATGGGTGGCTAATTTGTATATTATGTGTATAGTACGTAACCTGGCAGTGCAAACACACGTTTTCTCAGGGATCATTAAAGTGTTTTTATTTCTCAGTGTCTTTTCAGTTGTTCCGAGTTTTTCTTTCACTCAATTAGCAAAATCATGCAGCTAGGCCTATACTAAAGAAAGGGAAGAGGGATCAACTTATTTCCATGTTAAGAACGTTGCATTGGTTTCCCGTGTCAACTAGAATGCCATATAAAATTGCAATATTATGTCATAAATGTGTCATTAACAAAGCTCTCTCCTTTTTTAGTGATCTCATCCAGATTTATGTTCCCTCTAGATCACTAGGATCAGGCGATCAGTAAATTTTAAGAGTTCCTAGAAAAGGAGGTAAAACATGTGCTGAAAGACCGTTTTTTGCCCAATGGGCTCCATTAGTTTGGAACTCTCTTCCCCAATCCTTGAGATATACAACATCTGAGTCTAAATTTATTATATATCTTTAAAGACACATTGAATGACATCAATTTTTAATCAGTGGATTCATGTTCAGTACAATGTTATGTAAATGACTAGATCTATGTATCCATTTATGTATTTTGCAAATTGCAGTGTGAATATTATGTTATTATGTATTTCTATGTGCTCATTTCGTAACGATGTGTAAGCGTGCGCGTGTGATAAGCAAGTAGATGTGTGTGTACTGTGTGCGTGTGTGTGTGTGTGTGTGTGTGTGTGTGTGTGTGTGTGTGTGTGTGTGTGTGTGTGTGTGTGTGTGTGTGCGCGCGGCAATGAATATTGTTCGTACATGAATTTATGTTAATCGCTTAGAGCTGTGTTGACACGGAAGTAGACGCTAGAAAAAAATTACATTATTATTATTATCATTATCATTATTTTTTTAATTATTTTAAAAAATTATTATTATTATTATTATTATTATTATTATTATTATTATTATTATTATCATTATTATTATTAATGCAGTTATTATTGTGTGTACTATCTTGTAACCCTTCTAATCTTCGATAGGCTACTTATATGACTTAATTGTGTTGCAAGTGCCGTAATACTCTTACTAAAACTGAAACAAGCACAAGATCTGAAACAGATAGATGATTGTTCACTGCAGATTCACCTCGCATTTCTCTGTTCAAATTATCTTTAAAAATTTTGTTAAACCTGTATTATTAGTATTATCCCGGCCTGCCTCATCCAGCCATCCATAATCTGTTCTAATTCTCGAAGTGAGCTACGTTTGGCCTTCCTCTGCTTATTTGATTCATTTAGTGGTGATATAAATACAGTCAAATCTCGTTGTACCACCCCCACCCCCACCCCCCACCCGTTGTACCGCCAGCCCCGTTTACCTCCAGGTTCTGTCAATGTAGGATAAGAATCCCCTTTATATAAACTTAGTATTTGCGCCTTTACACCGTCATCCATCAACTGTCTCAGTGGCACGGTCGTTATTAAATTACTGTAGATTTACCCCGTTTTACAGCCAGCGAACTACGCCAGAAGCACACAGTATACACTAGGCTGCACTCGGCGCACGGCACATCCACTCAGTGGTTGCTTGACAAGCTGATGTAGTGTGTCGCAAGAGAACACAATACAATTTTTGTGTAATGTAGAGGAGTAAAATTAAAGTAAAACATAACTATCTATGTAAGTCAGCATTAAATTTCGCTCCCCTCGTGAATCTGACTAATTAATTTGATGAGCTGATTACGAAAATGATATTATTTTTAGGCTGTGGTCAATATCTTTAAAACAATTGTTTAAATCTTTAAATCGTTTTGAGCAACTTTAAAAGAACCTCGCTATCTCGGCCCCCCTGGCAAAATTCATGTCCCTGGCGTCACTAGATACTAGATGTCAGCCCAATAACGTTGGCTGGCCAATGTCTGTGGGGCTTTTATTTAGTGAGACGCTCATTCTAAATGACAGATCGAAGACAGATTACTCAATATTTTGTCTAGTGATTGCGAAACAAGTTCCCTTGACGTTGGGCAGTCAGTGCTACAAGCATTTATCAGAGGACATGAAAACCTCGTTGTACCGCCAGCCCCGCTGTACTGCCAACTTCATGCTCGTCTTCAGGTAGGTGGTACAACGGGTTTGACTGTATAGGCTATTGAACCCGTCAAGAGCCCAACGTTATATTTGTTAGTGTTTGAGCCCTTGATCAGCTACGTCCACTGTACCGAGAAAACCGAGGATGTATTCAAGTGATTTAGAACCTTCTGGGGTTAAAAAATAGAATGTAAACGCATAGAGCGTGTTGTTGAGCAGGGATTTGCGCTGTACTAAAGCTTCTTCTTCTTCTTCTTCTTCTTCTTCTTCTTCTTCTTCTTCTCCTTCTTCTTCTTTTTCTTCTTCTTCTTCTTCTTCTTCTTCTTCTTCTTCTTCTTCTTCTTCTTCTTTCTATGACCATTTCGGCACAGTTCGAAAATTCAACTTCATTCGACTAAGACCTTCAAAATCAAACGCTGTTGTTTTTTCATGGACGAGAGTCGAACTGGACGTAACCGTCAGATGTGAACAGCCAATGAACCACAGGGCTTGTAGCTAACTGGTCACAAGGTCTGGGTCATATTTTTTTTTCTTTTGGGCGTGGAATGTGGTAACAGACAGAGTAGATTTGAAGATGCTGTTACAGATAGGTTCATAAAACTATCGACGTTTCCCTTTCCTGTGTCCTTTACTATACGAAGATTCAAGAATCTCTCAGCACAGCAACCACGATATGCGGCAGAGAGCTTTGTGAAATGACACTGTGCCCTAATCAGTGTTTTTATTGTTGGTTTGCTTTAGGTTGGGGGGGGGGGGAGTAGGTAAGAATTTTACAGCACTTGCAACGCGATAAGGTCATATAAGTGCCGACGATTAGAGGTGTTACAAGGAAGTATGCTATGTGGGCAAGATTTTCTCCAAGATATTGGAATGGCGAAAAAGACACAAAGTTGAAGCATGTCTGAGTGAGGCCCAAATGGAATTTAGACCGGGAAGAAGATGCACCGACGCAATATTTGGCCTACGACAAATGTGTGAAAGTGTAATAGAACACAACAGGGAACTAAATATAGTATTTATCGACCAGGAGAAAGCGTTCGGCAGAGTGAACAGAAACAAGCTGTGGAAAGAACTCGAAAACTACACTGTCAGAGGCCCACTTCTAGATAACATGCATGCCATTTACGAGAACAGCATAAGTACAATAAGAACGTCGGAGGGACTCACAGAATGGTTCGAGATAGCATCCGTAGTAAGACAAGGTTGTGTCCTATCACCACTACTATTTATCATATATAATATGGAATAAAATTACAAAAGAGGACAACACAGAACCAGACGCCATAAATGAATTACTCTTCGCTGATGACCAAAGCCTGGCACACCAAGATGAATGAAGTCTTCAACACCACACCACCAGATTAAACCAAGAATGTGACAACTACGACATGAAGATCAACATCAACAAAACAGAGACAATGAATGTAAACAGAAAGCCAGGACCACTCAGCATACACATCAACCTCAACAATCTCAGACAGGTCCAAGAATTTAAGTACCGCAGAAGCATATTCACAGAGGATGGGCGACTGAACAGAGAAATTGAAACACGAGTTCAAAAGGCCAATAATGTTAGTTACCAGCTTACTCCACTACTGAAACATCCTAACATCCACATAACAACAAAACTCAAAATAATCAACACCATATTCATCCCAACACTGACTTATCAATGCCAAACATGGACCACGAACAAGATATTAGAGCAAAGAATTACAACATGTGAAATGCGATGCCATAGAAAAGCAGTAAACAAGACCAGGCGAGACAGAATTTGAAACTCAGTAATCCGAGAAATGGTGAGCACAAATGATGTCATGCATCACATCCAACACCAAAAAATCAATAAATGGTTCTGACATCTCCGACGATTACCAACACCCCATCCAACACAACGTGCCTACACCCAAAAATTCGATGGCAACAAGGCTAGAGGGCGACCGAGAAAGACCTGGATAGATTGAGTCAGGGAAACATTAACCACCCACGGCATCCCCCTGACCCAAGCTCTCGGGCTGGAGACAGAGAGACGTCTCTTTCTTCCCGCGACACCCAAAAGGGTATAAGCGGCGGATACAATAAAAGTAAATAAGTACAAGAAAGTAACAGACACCAAAAAGAAGGAGGAGAGACAAGGGCGATAGACGTTAGACTGAAAGGACCAAACCACACCAAAGCACCTGCCAAACACCCACGGTCAATATTTTCTACTCTTTACCGTCTTGGTCAAATTTGACTCAAGTTTGAACAAGGGACGGGTCTATTTGTAGTACGCAATGAAGCTGCCATTAATCTGCTGGACCCGATCCGATTCGATCCTGCCAGTAGGCACCTGGTATTATGCTTGATTGCCACCGTAAACTCTGCCTGTGCCTTTTGTCACAGCAGGAAGTTGAAGGCGCCACTGGTAGGTCCTACTTCTTTTTGCTTCCTTTGTTGTTTCCTACTAAGTATCTTCCATGTTTCCTACTAAGTATCTTACATGTTTCCTACTAAGTATCTTCCATGTTTCCTACTAAGTATCTTCCATGTTTCCTACTAAGTATCTTACATGTTTCCTACTAAGTATCTTACAAGTTTCCTACTAAGTATCTTACATGTTTCCTACTAAGTATCTTACATGTTTCCTACTAAGTATCTTACATGTTTCCTACTAAGTATCTTACATGTTTCCTACTAAGTATCTTACATGTTTCCTATTAAGTATCTTACATGTTTCCTACTAAGCATCTTACATGTTTCCTACTAAGTATCTTACAAGTTTCCTACTAAGTATCTTACAAGTTTCCTGCGTTCAATGACCGTTCTTGTGTCCATGCGTTCCTCTTGATTCAATAGAATTATAATAATAATGAATAAATAGAGTCTAATATTTGAAAAGAACGGACAATAATTAGTAAACAGCTGGAAAGAACAATAGAGGCGACAGAGTTGTGGTTCTTAAGAGGCATGCTGTGTATCCCATGGACAGCTAGAAAAACAATTAAAGAAAAAGTCTTGGTTGAAGCAAATTGCAGACGACAGTTTATGGTGAATATACGAAAGCGACAGAAAAAAATTCATTGGAAACACAATGCAGAAAGAAGCATTAGATAATATTATAACAAAAGGAAATTTTAACTTAGAGAGACACAGGGGCAGACAGAGGGAAAAGATTCGGGACAAGTTGACAACATGGCTGGGAACAGCAAGAACGACAGACACCATCGCCCACGCCAGTCGGCAAGGTACCGGATGATGATGATGATTTGTATAGCGCATAACCCCTCTCAAACAATCATACAAACAGACAAAGAAACAGAAAACAAACAAAGCCCATTTCAGGAGCATAGATGTAGTACAGAAGATTGCTGACTTAAGTGGACAGGAGAATCCCAAAATAGTGCAAAACCAGGGCAGTTGAGTACATTCAATGGCGGTAGGCCTAGAGTGGAAGGTGGTGCAGTACTGTTGATGCCTTCTATCGAAAAAGACAGACGTTTTATAGTCTATGTCTGTATTCTCGAAAGTATCCACCACAGATGAGTAGCAAAACCTGATATCTTAAGGCAAACTCCCAAAACAAAATACGGTCTGAAAAAGTTAGGCTTTAATCAAGGTTGGGTTCCATTTGCTTCAGGGAACGAAACAAAGCCCTGATGGTACGCCTGTATTTTGAACTCATTTTGATGTACAGCAAAATGTTTATAGAGCTGTTGATACCTTGTACGATCTGGAGAACAGACACACAGACAATATTTTCGTTCTCATAAGCTTTACCAATGTAGAATCCTGGTACTAATTCCATGACCAGAAACACGGCGCCAAGGGGAATGAAGCCAATGAGGAACACTGCAGCGACGAGCAATATCATTTTGGCTACTTGAATGTCCTTGTTCTGTGTCGGTGTGTTTCCTTTTGACGTGCTCATATTTTTGGAACACTTCCACTTCCGGCGACGCTGAATAAGTGCGTAAATTAGGAGGGCTGAGAACACGGAGACGCAGAGGTAAGAACCTGCAGTCACAATAAAACCTGCTATCATAACAACAGGTTTGATGGCATCTTCATTATCGTTGTAAATTATTCCGATCAGCGTTTTGTTCTTCACGGGATCGAAGATGGGAGCGAGGTCAGTGTAGGCAAACATTGGGAGAAAGGACAGTAGCAAAAGAAAGATTACAGCAGCAAGGCAACTGGCTGTCTTTTTCGGGGTGAATATTCTGTGTACATGCAGGGGTGTTATAATGCACATACAGCGCTCCATTGTCACTAGAACAGTGATTATGCCTGATGTCCTGTTGAAAAGAATAAAAAAAATCATAAATAAAACATGCACACATACACAGACACACTCACACCCACACACACACATATAAATGCAAACACACCTACATACACACACACAAACAAACATGCACACACACACACATCTACGCACATACACAGACACACTCATATACACACAGTACACTAGTAGACGCACTGACGCCTACACTCATGTATACACACATGAACACGCACACATCCACGGACACACACACACACACACACACACACACACACACACACACACACACACACACACACATGCACAAACTCAAGCGCGGCGCGCATACACTTACACAAATACATACAGTAAACATAATATAAATGTGTGTGTTAAAATTCTCTTGAGGTCTTAAACCTTTGGTGATATCGGCATCAAATTTTAGAATTCAACTTAACAGCTCGCTACCCTAGAATAACAACATTCAATCTGCTCAGTAGCTCTACCTAGGTTAGAGAAATCGGACTTATAACCATTTTGATTTTCACAAAACACGTCAAGATTTTTCGAATGCAAATCTATAAGTATCTTGATTACGTCTACGAATGATTTTACGATTTTAGTAGAACAGATAGGACATTTGGTTTCTGACCTCATGGTCTAAGTACCTGCCAGAGAAAACTTGGTAAATTCTGATGTAGCCAGCTTGCAAATATTATACTCAGTACATATTTGATGTGTATACTTTTTGTTACTTGGAGCTGAGACAAAAGCCTGTTTCGTTTCTTTGGAAACTGAAATAAATTTAGGCCAGGAAACATAATACAAGCGCATTCACCAGTCAAAATATGAAAAATAACAGAAGAAAATAAAAACAGATTGGGAAAGCATCATGTCCTCTTCGTTAAATTGTTTGTTCGTAAATGTCTAAACATGTCTTCAAGAAAAAAACAGTTATGAAGCAATCACAATGTATCTCATGTTACGGGACAAAAGATATTTTTTCAAAGAGAAAAGAATACTTTAATATCTGAACATTCTTATGACAGTAGTAGCATTTTTCTTCGAGCACTGCACAACCCCCCCCCCCCCCCCCCTCAAAAAAATATTCACAAACTGTGTCACCCGTTCTCACAGTTAGTCTGCATATAAAATGAATGTATGGTCATAAATATTTCCAAGACAAAACCATAATATCGTATGGCCTTGTTCATGCTTATAACATATTAGGCAATCATGACAAAACTCATTTTCAGTAGCCTATAGCCTATCACACAAATCCACAAGTACGGGGCATCATTGCATGAGAGCTTCAAAATAAAATATTCTTAAAGTCAAAGCATAATACATGCATTACTACTGTATATGTTTTGCCTTTGGTAAGTTTGTTTTTTTACGGCGCTCGCAACTGCATAAGGTCATATGAGCGCGTGTGACACATTAAACATTTTCAGTTCTTTTTTGTTATTTCAGTACTTAATTATTCTAAAGTGGTAATCACTTCAACTGGAATGATATCCAGAGCTGTGGCTATTTCTAATTTCATTTTCTTTATAGCTGCTTATACTTCTTTTTTTTCAAAATTGGCGGTCCGCTTATTTACAAGCCAGTACTCCTTTATTGAACCCTGGTGGCACAGATGCTTCAATAAATACCTCACACACTGGTGAGAAGAATGCGCCAAAAAGGCAAATTAGATGATAAAGAGCAGAAAATGGACAGGATGAAGCTAAATATGTTATGCATTTCAGAAGTTAGATGGGAGGGGGCAGGCTTGATTAAAAGAGAGTCCAGAACGATTGTATACTCAGAAGGAAAAAAAACATGAACGAGGAGTCGGAATTTTATTTGACAAAGCAACATCAAAGAGCACCAAATGTTTTTGGGGAGTGTCAGATAGAGTCATTGAGGTTAAATAAGAAGACAAATCTATTGACAAAGGTGTCATTCAAAATGTACGCACCAACATCAGAGCACGACAACGAGGAAATTGAGACTTTTTATGAAGACTTTGATAAGACAATGAAACAGTTGAAATCACAAGATGTACAGGTAGTCATGAAAGACTTTAATACCAAATTAGGAAGCACACGTATAGAAGATATAGTTGGGCAATGGGGACTGGGAAAAGAGAATTAACGCGAGGAACGACTGATAAAATGGTGCAGAGAAAATAATTTTATGATCTCAAACTCCTGGTATGAATATCACCCAAGAAGACGATACACTTGGGAGAGTCCTGGCGATAGAAGTAGAAAATAAGTAGACTCCATTCAGAAACGTTTTAGAAATGAAATTAAATCGTCTAAATCATTGCCAGGAGCAGATTGTGATTGTGACCATATACCATTCATGTGTAAAATGCAGATGAGACTAAAGAAACTTAAAAAGTCAAAGCATCAATCAAAATTTGAAACTGATCTCTTAAAGACAAATCAAGAACTGAAAGAACGTTTCTCCATAGATGTAAACAATAAATTTCAAGCTCTGTAAAACATTACTAAATCGGAAGAACTATGGAGGAAAATGAAAGACGCAATAATGGAAGCTGTGAAAGATATTATACCCCCCGAAAGATAAATGAGCACATAAAAAATGGATGGCCGAGGACATACTAAAACTAAAGAAAGAGAGAAGACATGCAAAATCACATGGGGAAAAGTACAACCTCTTAAACATGAAAATAAAGAAAAATGCAACGAAGCAAAAGAAATATGGATAAATGATCAGCGTCAACAAATAGAGAAGAACCAGAACAAAGACGGCATGCATTCCAAGATCAAAGAAGTAGGTGGGATAAAAGGACCCGCAAATACAGGATGCATAAGGTCGAATGCTATATTCACCATAACAATGTTAATGAAACGATGTATTGAGGCAGAGAAAGATCTGTATATATGCGTCATATATTATTCAAAAGCTTTCGATTAAGTAAGACATGATGAGCTATTTAAAATACTGGAAAAGCTAGACATAGATGGAAAAAATCTAAGAATTATCAGGAAATTGTTTTGGGGCCAAAACACCGCAGTGTGAATTAATGGAAAATACAGTGAATATAAGCAGATCAAAAGGTGAGTGAGGAAAAGATGTGTTATGTCACCAAACCTCTTTAACATGTACTGTGAAACAATCCTTAGAAACATAGAAGAATGTCCAGGTCTAAAAAAAATATGAAAAAAATACGATATAACATCAGATATGCCCATGACACAGTTTTAATAGCAGACTCAGAAAAGGACCTTCAATTGCTTATAGATACTGTTGTAACAGAAAGTGAAGACAAAGAATTATTGTTGGATGTAAAGTAAACAATGCATGGTAATATAAAAAAGCAACAAGTCCTATTTGTAGTCTCATTAGCAAAGATGAAAAGATCCATCAAGTCCAACAGTTTATAAATCTAGGATATATAATGACATCTAATGCCAAACGATCCACCGTAAAAAGGGAGAATTGCAATGGCAATGGCTTTTTTTTAATGAGTCCAATCCTGAAAAATAGAAACATCTCAATGACTACCAAAATGAAATTTCTTAAATGCTATGTATTGTCAACACTTCTAAATGGCAGTAAAAGCTGGACAATCACTACAGACAGTGAAAATAGAATAGAAGCAACAGAAAAGTGGTTTCTTAGGAGACTGCTGAGAATATAGTGGAAGAAAAATAAATCAAGTGTGGTATTGCTTGATGAAGCCAACGTCGGATGTTCACTGTAAAAAAAAACAATCAGGAAACGACAGATGCAGGTTTTTTTGACAACTGAATAGACATAGAGTTCTTGAAAATCTAGCTTTTACTGGCAAAATTGAAGACAAACGAGGCAAGGGTAGGCCCAGAGCTACCTACTTAGGAAACCTAAACAAATGGGTAACGTGGAAAGATCAGGGAAACGTAGCTTTTTTAATAAGAGCATTCGAGCAAAGGGATGAATGGAGGATAGCCGATGTCTGTCGCAGTTCTGGCACTGGATAATGATGATTCCTTTATTGCAGGTTTTTCACCTCTGTTATTTTTATTTTCAATGTAGAAATGTCTACTGTACTATGTATTCTAATCATCGGTTCAAAACATACCCAACAAGTCCCAGCTTCACCCAAAGATATAGATATATGATATCCTTTACATCGTTCTCTAGTAATGAAGTTTGCTAAATGCTTCATGCCACGCCATGCCTTGCCATGCCATGCCATGCCATGCCATGCCATGCCATGCCATGCCATGCCATGCCATGCCATGCCATGCCATGCCATGCCATATCATGCTATACCATACGATCATGTATTCAACTGGGTGATAGCGAAACATACGTGAACGCATATTATGTGCTTGGAACACAGAATACGTAGGAGACATACATGTATTCTCACAAACCTGACAAAGAACATCCATGGCCAGCCGAGAGCGATAGCTATTATATCTATATAAATAAACTGCAGATCTAGAGACGTGAATAAAGGGTTGGACATCGTAGAAATCAAGGCTAATACAACAAGGCTGCCAAGGTCAGACAGGGATAGGCACAATAAGGAGAGGTTCACTGATTCTCGGACGCCCATCTTGATGAAGACGATGATGTTGATGATGTTTGCAACGATGCCAAAGACAGCGATGATTGTGCTAAGAACAGACCAATTGAGCAGGAGGAGTATTGAGGTAATGTGTTCGTCTAACAACCCTTTGGCTTGGGCTACTTTCAGAAGACTAGTATTGCTGTCATCCATGTTTATTGTAAGAGAAACCTCGCACAAAGAGCTGAGTAGATTTTCACAGAAAATGCAATAACTGGTTATGGATCTTAATATATTTGTTCAGTATGAAAGGCCTGCCGCAAAGAAAACTCTGCTGACGAAGCAAACAGTTTATAGTGGCCACTCC